CCCAGCCCAGTCCAGCCCGTTACTTTTAATCTACCCAGAACAACCCTGAACAACCCTAAGTATAAATACCTCTGCGATCCAACCTATTATCTAGCGTACCCTATTATCTTACGGACCGTTCAACGCCTAACTCCCTCTGCGGTGAACCTACCGTCTTCAATGCGATTCAACCTCCCTCTGTAAAACTTCCCCTCTAAACCCATTATTCAGATTGTTCTCACTTCTCTATGCATCGATGGATGGCCTGTCTTCTACAAAGCATATTTCTGGCCACTGATGGATGGTCTGTGTTTCCATCTCATAAAATCCGAACGATTGTTATGGACTCCGATTGAGTTGTCGATATATTTCTTAATTTCTTTGTTTTGAACACACTTGTTCATTATATATTCGATTTTCTGTATTTTGGTTTCCTATACAAATAATATTGAAAACATTCAATTATTTCGTGTTTCTACACTACGTTTCATGTTGATTTGATAATTTAAAAAAAAAAACTTCCACTGCACGTACAATCCGTAACAGATCTTTGTAGATCCATGGATATTGGTTCGTGTTTGTCTGAATCTCCGAGATCTATCATCATTTGTGATTTAGACCTTTTTAATGCATGATTTTGTGGTTGTGCACTTTAATATATCAGTTTTTCATTTTGATTTCGTAGTGACTAAGGGTTATACTGAGATTTCTTAAAAGTGAAATGTTCGGTCATCCTTTATCACGAAATGGAACTACGTATGTGTCTAAATATATGATTTTTTTCGTTTCTACATGCTTAAATATAGTCAGAAATGGACTTCCAGTTGTATGTTCTTCTTAGTAACCACGATTCTTATACTTAAACTAAAATATTCCGAAGTTATTCTATTTTTTTAATATGTCATGTAGTACTAATTTGAAGCAAAACCAACATGTCACAACTATACAAAACCCTATTAGGATGCTATTTTTGATAAATACCACTCTGTTTTTACAATTGATATACCTATGGGTCATACATATATTGTAAGGTCTATATACCCATGAGAATACCTATTTGTGTTCCAGTTTAAATCTCTTTTTAAACAATATGGTTTCAAAATAATTCTAATTTTTAAACTATGTGACATCCATGTTAAATACCGAAATTGATTTATTCCTAAGATATTCTAATTATTCTTTTCTGTCATGTAGTTGTATTTGAAACAAATCAAAGCTGTCTCACTTCTATAAAACCCTAAGATTAAACTTTTTTGGATAATCAATAATCTGTTTTTTGAACTGATACACCAAAGGGTCATACATATAATCTATGTCTAAATACATATTTGAATACTTATTTGTGTAACAGTTTTGATCTTTTTTTAACAATATGGGTTCAAACTTAATCTGGTTTTCAAACCATGCTGTCATACCTATTTTAAAACACAGTATACTCAAATTAATATATTCCCAAGTTATTCTAATTATCTATAATATTTCATGTAGTCCTGATTTGAAACAAATCAAAGCTGTCATACCAATTTTAAACACTATTATTAAACTATTTTTTGATAAATCTCTAGTCTGTTGTTACAAATGATATACCTATGTGTCATTCATATATTTAAACGTCTATATACCTATTTGAATACCTATTCAGTAACAGTTTGGATCATTTTTAATCAATATTGGTAAAAACTATATCTGACTTTTAAACTATGCTACATACATCTTAAATACTCTGTTTTAGTGATGCTTTTAATGTTGCTTTGTTTTATAACTAAAATGTGTTCTTTCTTTCAATACTCATTTAATATTTTATTAATAGTGATTTCAAATCACAATTATTTTTAAAACAAAACTGCCATACTTATTCTTCTATGAAAAATCCTATATTTTGATAAATTCGACACTTAATCCTTAAAAATATTTTTTCATAAAGCATATATACATGTATGTATGTATATGAAAACTTTATATTTTCTGAAGTAATGTTTGCAGCCATACCTAAATGGATGTTAACTATTGTCTATCTGGGTCAATTGGTAGGTGATGTGGCATTGACCAAAGGGTTACCCGATACCCTACCAGCCACATCAGTGGCCTTCAGAACTGCGTGGTCGGGTAGCCCGCTAAGCAGCCATCTTCAATTCTACCTTACACCACCTTGATATGATAATAGGAGTTGACAAATGTTTTTCCCAAAAGTTTTTGGTGTTATGAACATAATTCATTCATGGTTTTGTAAATCATGAGAAATCTGAAGTTTGCAGTAATACCTTGATCAAAAACCTCTCCTGCCAGCCTCTTACGGTTGATTATTGTTGATTTAGTAAGCCTCCTCATTTTTTAATGCATTTGCTATAAGTACCCTGTATATCATTCATATCAGGTTATATCTCTGAGCTCTCATATGCATTTTGATTTGGCCAAACGCATCCAAAAATGTGTATTCCATAGGTATATATATGTCATACATATAAGTTCATCCTAATCATATTTTTAAGTTACTGTGTTTTGCACTTCATTAAAATGTATTTTTTCAAAGATAGCATGAAAGAAATGAAAGCAGAGGGTAATGCTGTAGCAAAAATATGCATTCTTAGTGCATTTAAACGAAGCTTTCATAGCATTTCATTACATTCAATGTTCTGATACATTTCAGGTAGCATAAAGCCACACTTTTTGAGAAAAGCATAAACTATTTTAACTAAATCCTTTTTAACCAACCCATCTGCATACCCATAACTGTGTATTCATTGAAGAACTTTCTGTTAAGATAAATAACCCGTTCAGATCTCCTAGGTAACACTGGACATGCATCTAGCAATTCTTCTTCACATTGTTTGCATATCAAGTCCACAGTACCCATGTCCTTGTTAAGTGGCTTCATGCAGTAGTAATGGCTAAAGTTTGATTTACACTGAGAACAATCTTCCAGCACAAACCCCCCACTATGTTCACCACAACCATGACATTTGAGACTAAATGTTGAAGTATTCATCTTTTTTATTTCTGATAGGTCAATCTGTATATGAAATATATATCATTTTTACTAAAATTTGTACTCAAAACTGCATTCATACTCTATGTTTTACAGCATGCATTTTATTTCTGATAGGTCAATCTGTATATGAAATATATATCATTTTTACTAAAATCTGTACTCAAAACTGCATTCATACTCTATGTTTTACAGCATGCATTTTTTTATAGATTCAATATTTAGTAAGAATATCTACTGCATAAAATTTGACATAGCAAAATAATATAAAAGTGACCTTTTATTGCTCTCTAATGGCAAACCCTTGCATTCTTAGACTACATTCATGATGATGGATTCTCTGAATTGCTATTTCGTTTATAGCTAATAAATGAGATTCTCGTAAGTTGTTGGATTCATTTATGTCTATTTATAATGGGAATGTGAGACTGGGCAATACCCATAGGTAAATATCTTAATCTGACAGCATTGATTTAAGCAACTGGGATAGCTACGTTTCATTACTTTACACAGCTGCATTTCAATTTTTCATCGGAAACAATCCATTTTTAATAAGTCTGTCAACTTTGAATGACGACATTTGAGAGCTACGTTTCATTAAAAGTCACAGACTGGCATCAAAACTTTTTTATTGGGAAACAACCATTTCTTAACTACCACACTCTTTTTTACCGCTGAATGACTACTTTACTTGTGAACCACCATGCATTTGTGATAAAAAAGTTTTTTCTGGCCTTTGTCAATTAGTAGCTGAAATTGTCAATCCCTACTTGGTTATTAGGGAATTGAGGATACTCAAAGACCTACATTAACTGTGCTCAAATGTTATACCTTATTTGCCTAAATTATTCTCTTGACTTTTCAAAATTTTAATATTTTGGGTGATTTTAAACATATGCATATACTTTAAGACAAAGTTTAATATAAGGGCATTTTTTATATTATATACCGTTTAGTTTTAATGCATTTATATGTAATTGCCACCTATGTTTTTATATTCTTATTTAAAATATTTGAGCATATACATTAAATAATAATTTGAGCACATACATTAATTTTATACTTTACATAATAATTTATTGACTTTGTAATTTATTTAGTCATTCAAAGAAGAGTTACTTTTTTAGGGTTTAGTAAAAGGTATCCACTGATGTTTTTTCCACATGTACATGTTAAGCTTGTTCAGCTTACAATAAGGAGTGGAAAATGTAGTTAGATCTTTTTTTTATGAAGAAAACACTTGTAATTCCTAGGAATCTGGGACCTTATAAAGGTTGCCAAAAATGTAATAAGTATATTAGTTGATATTAGGATTTGCAGGGTTCTGTCACAGCATCTAAAGACACATGTATGTTGCATGTTACATATGCTTCTGCTTTATTTTCAACAATAAACTTTTTGTTCATTAGGATTGAATTTGCACTCGCCAAAGTTCTTTAATGGAATAAATTTAGCTTTTTCTTACATTACCAGGCTTTGACATGGGCAAAGTACATCAGCAAGTTTTTGTATACGGGAAAAACATTTTTTCTAACATCATTGAACTCTGTGTTAAATCAGTTTTCAACAATATCTTTACAAAATTTACTCTAGTCAGTCTGATAAGAGTATGGCCCATACTTTACTGTTTGGTTTTAAACATTTTTCGAAAACAATGAAAATAGTGTTTACAGTGTTCACCTTTAAACCATCATTTTTAAAATTAAATCCTTTCCGTTTGAGGTTATTTATGTTTTTTTTTTCATTTTTTAGTCTTAAAATAAAATTGAACTTATTCTCTCTGTATTTTGTCCAATAATTAATATAACCAAAACCTTTTCAACTCACCTCTTTGAATATGCAATCAACTGTTCTTAAAAATATATAATACATAACATATATACAACTTATTTTAAATAACAAACTGTTTAATTCCATAGTTACATTACAATAATATCAATACAATATTGCATTGAAAAATGATATAAAATTTCCATCTGAACTATTTCTGAGTTTATAAAGAACTCTGGCTGGTGCATTAGATATGATGGAATGTCCTTGATACTATTTTCCCTCCTTGTTGTTTGTATCCTTTAGCCTTAGATTTGGCAAGCCATCACCTCCACCTGAAAAGAAAAAGAAAAAGCACATCCAAAATACACATTTATATAGGTCATCCACAAATTCCGTAGGTCACCCAACATAAGGTAGGATCTCATATAGTAATCCTAATAGAATAAGTCTAGAGTTATTACAACACTTAAATGCTCATTAAGTTCACACACATTCCCAAAAAAGCTGAAAAGAAAAGTTTGCTTTTGACATAGATGTTAGTCAAACAAAATAACAATCCTTGGCTCTGCTTATGATTAAGCTTTCAACAAACATCTTGAAGAATCTTCTCCATCCCAAACAGCCCTGCAGTAAGTCCTAATCCTTTTCCTTCTTAACCTTAACCCTCATACTTTTTCCATTCTTAGTTGCTGAAAACTCGTCCTCCAATTTTCGTTTCATTGAGTCGTCCAATGCAATCACTGTTTTCTTTGCTGAAGTCTGAGGAGTATCCTCTTCTGCACCTTCATTGACCTACACATAAAGTTAATTTTGTTAGGGCCATGTTCAAGTGGCATGTTGAAACTTAAGTTTAGAAAAGACATGAACCAATATTAAGAAACCTATATCTGAAACGTGTTTTATATGTACCTTAGCCTTTCCGTTGGCTTCACCTTCTTTGCTATGTACGATCAGCTCTGTGTTGTTCACTGAACCACTCTAAAATGAAAATCCATTGAATATATTAAAAGTAATTTAGAGGGTTAAAATCTTAACAAAAAAGAAAAATGTGTTAGAAAAAGATACCATTTCCTTGTCCTCTAGCTCATCAAATTCCACAGTTTCTCCTTCTTTTGACTTATACATTGCCAAAATAGTTAGGTCTCTGAACATAGACATCACCCCAAATGAACTCGTTCCCTTATAAGAGCATCTTTCTCGCTTGTTCTTGACTTGGACTTTGAACAAACATTTTTTCTCAATAACAGCCTCAATCTCTTCAGGAAAATGGTTAGGATCTCCCGTTTTCTGAATCATTCCAAAATATATATACCTTTGTCAAAAACTTTGTATGAAGTAAGAAATTTTTTTAGTATTGAATTGTATGTATCATTAAAGTGTTTAAATCCCACCTCCATGACTTCCCTCCTCAATCTCGCTGCTGACTTCCCCAGAATTTCAGAGCACTGTATGTCCCATAGAGTGAATGAGGCATGACCAATATCATCCATAACACAGATGCTCACTTTGTATCTGTATCATATCAATAGTAAGTAGATTTGAATAACTAAAATGCTTGCCTAACATAGAGGACATGAACACGAACTTCACCTTAGAACACCTTCTGCCAGAGTGATGTTGCATGATGCACATCTAAATCTGTTTTCCTCAGGGACCACCTTTTTGTTGCATGACGTGCACCCTAAGTAGAACCACTCCCTAAAACTGTCTATTGAGACAATCTCTGCCAGCACCCAGTATATTCCTTCCTGAAAAAAAAAATTGAAACCGTTGTTACACATAGTAAATCGAACTACTATAGCTTGAAGCCTTAGCCTAGAGTATACTAACCTCAGTTTTTTCTAGTAATTCACTAACTGTGGTGAGAGTTACATTTCCACCCAAAATGTCGTCATGGCCATTGTTGATTGACTGGGTTCCAAGAAACGTGAGAGTTCCATTGTCCTCTGCTTGCTCATCAAACATGTACAAAAGTATTTCTTTTAGGTACTTTGAATTTTTCCAATATCTTAAGGTACTTTTTTGAAACTCACGGATTTTTGAATTCTTGAAACTCATTCCTATCTTTGTTGATGATAAGCTTTGTCACATCAAACGATGAAGAAACCGAAACATTTCTTGCGAAAACCGTATATGGTTAGATAATTTAGTCCACCAATTAGAAAAAGCATTTCAAAACGTTAATAGAGTACCCTTGTAGCGCTTTGGCCTGCAGAGTTGAACAATCATGAAGATGGCCTCATTTTGAGCTTGGTTCACATAGTCATTAAAATCAGTAATGTAGTTGTTCCACAATGTACAACCGATTCTGTTCCCGCTGCAATATTAAGAGAAATTAAGACTGATTTATTTACGTTTTGAAATAACATGGAATTTATATAACATGGAATTTCAAAACTAAACTTAAGTGCTCACCCCAATAGGTTTAAAAATTTTGAATTGGAATATAATAAAGAACTACACCATTTGCAAATACTTTTTGCTCTACATTAATTGTATATCTTCATTGGTGTCTAACCCCTCAACTACATCAAAAGTGGTTTCTACTTCAAACGCAAATGAGATGTGTTGTCAAAATCAAAACTTTGTTTCTCGTGTAAGCATTCTGAAGATCAAATGCATTTAATGCTTATCTTGGATTCTTTAGCATTCTGTAGATATCTCATTAATTGAACATCTATTTTTGGAACAACTTCCAACTACCCAATTGTACTATTCTAGATTGTGAACTATAATGGTAATGTAAGTCAACTGAAATGAATGAATGCATTTAATGTGATCTCCAATTTTTGGCATGAATTTTAAGAAGGCATCGACCTTCAAAGATATTTAACCTTATTAATGAAATATGATTGCTGCCATACTCAATCTACACGTTGGACCCAGTGCACCCGACCCAATAACTAAACCCGACCCGAATACAAAACCCACCCAGACTTGTAAACAAAAATTTGGGCGGGAAAATAGCCTGCCTTTCCACCTCTTTTTATATAGAGGTAGATAATGTTATTAAATTTGGAATTTAAGTTTTTATTTTGGTTGAACTCATGGTGGATAGCCTTACATCCAGTCAAGTGAGGGCTGGGTATGGCGGTAACACACCCGTTTCCCATTATGATTATTATTTCCGCTGCAAAACTCTATCTATTTTGAATGAATAAATTAAGTTTGTTATCAATTTATTATTATTTCAAGTATTATTTTGGGCGGGAAAATGGGGGTGTTACAACGGCGCCCGTTGGCTTATGGATGTACGTTGGCTTATGTTTTCGGGGACGTTCGTAGCGTGGCCTTAGGGCTTATGGACTGATCCTTGGTGGACCATTAACCCAACAGATATTTTATTTGGCCCGATAAAATAAAATGTAATTAAAAACAGTCCGAGAGATACAATTCGGAACTTATTGGGATGACCTCCCATATGGGTGGGGGCCACCCCACGTAAAATATCTTGAGATAAGGAGCAAGGAGGCGTAGGATTTGCGAAGGGATGGGAGAGAAATGATTTGAGATGATAAGCATCTAAATAATACATGGGTGGCCTGGGCCTCATTTACCTCACTGATTGCCCAAATGAGACAAGAAGAGCACCTCTACCCATTCCCTCCCCATTAACTTGACCAAGGACTTCCAAGAGAAAGAAAAGAAGCTCTAAGCTCATCCTCCATTGCTGCAAAACGAGCTCAAGCAAGGTTGGTCCAAGGAAGAAGATTAAAGAAGGAAAAAGTTAGGAAAAGTGTGAAGGATTAAACTAATAACCTTATAATAACTTTTCTCCTACTTTTTATCTATCATATGACATATATGTCATATGGAGGACCCCTGAAATTGTTCTACATATTTAGAAGTGTAGAATGAGGGGTTGGAAAGTGGTTCTAAGTCCAAGAACGGACTTAGAAGCCAAAACGACCGATTCGCCGGAAAATAATCTTTTAGAGGGTATTTGGGTAGATTTTTGTACTATTCACACACCTTACTATAATCCACATTATCCTGTATAAAAATGTTATTAAATCTATATTAATATGGACTTCCAAAATATTAATTTTTTACAATGTTTACTAATACATAATTAAATATAATTATGGTCAATGTTGTGCGTTACCAAACGTGAAAATCAAATTGTTGCAACTATTAAAAAACGAAGAATAATATTAAAAATGTAAAATAATTTACCATCTTCCACCACTTAAAGTAATTTATACTCCGTATGATATAATGCAAAATGTTTTAAAATAACACTTATAGTTTACATCAAATAATTATAATAGATTGTGCAATTATTTGAACGTAGTACTCCATATTTTATTAAGAGTGAGTTTGATACTTTGATACGTCTCTTTTTCGATTTATCAATCAATTTTTTCACCAAACATATGCTGAATTGTGTAATAATAAGAAAAAGTAAGGTTGAAGTTGTTTTTTTGACTGGACATTTCTCTCTCATCTGCACAAATATCAAGTATATCATTTTTACTATTCTTATTTCTCACCTATTTTGCACTTGATAAAGTATAACGGGACAGAGACGATATATAATTTTTCTTTATTGTATCAAAAGAAAAATTTTCTCAGCCATATTTTCATAAATTACAGGGGCGGATTCACAACAGGTCTGCGACGGACCCCGGCGGCTGTCTGCAAATAAGGTCCCGTTTTCTGGCCTTCCCTACCCTCCACCTTCCGTGCGATATTATCGCAAATCTAAACCAGAGATTGAGTTGCGGAGAAAGTTTAGCTCAGCGATGGAAGCTGGTGTTGGTCTCAGTTCTCATTCCCACCTATTCACTGTCGCACGCTTAAACCCTCAAGGCACGTCAAAGGCTTTCCGCTGCACTGAATTTATTAGCATGTACATCTGCATACGTATAGTTGACGTATCTACAAGCAGCATATGTCAATTCGCGTATGGTTAGCGTTTTTTACTTTCTCCAGCATGCTTGTTTTCATGCTCTTTTGAAATTCTATGATAAACAGGCATCCAAGTGAACCGGACCTTGTATAACCTCCACTTATGCCGTTCATCATTGACCAGGGCGCGTGTATATCTTAAAACAACTTCAGAATGCAGACGGCCTTTTTCAATATCAAAGGTGCCGTTTTCATCGAATTGGAATAAAGGGCCAACCATTCTTTCCCGTGGCCAATTTGGAAATGACTGTGTGAATTTCAAGGTAGCATGTGCAGAGGCTATAGATTCTGAACCTTCTGTGCCAATGCCAGATGGATATAACATGGCTCATACCTCAAATGATTTGAAAGATTATAAATTGCTGCATCAGCAGAGACCCAAGGCATTTACAAACCGATTTTTGAACATTGTGAGAATGGGTTCAGTGTTCGACAATGCTGTTGAATCTTTTTTCAAGAGCGAGATACGGAAGAGGCTTTTTGTGACTGCTGTCTTGCTCATAATTAGTCGTGTGGGGTACTTCATTCCCCTTCCTGGATTTGACAGGAGACTGATTCCCAAGGAATATCTTGGGTTTGCATCGGGATCTATTGGTAAGTCATTACTGATTCTTTCAAGCTGATGTTTCATGGAGAGCCTATTACTGTAACTAATGAATATGTAAAGTAAGGCGAATTAAGTGAATAAGAAGTTCATAATTTAATCGACGTGATTTCCTTTTAGCCATATATTGTCTCATACGGTGAATGTTAATATTATCCATTGTGACATAGTAATTGTTAATTTGAGAGTCATTTTGCAGATGAATTTGGCGATTACTCACAAGAAGTTAAGCTTTCTCTTTTCCAACTTGGAATAAGCCCTCAGATCGGAGCATCTATTCTAATGCAGGTTAGGAACTATCGCACCATTAGAAAAAGAGATCCTGCACATGACATCAAAGTTCATTTCTAAGCATTTTTAATGTTTTTCTAGTCTCTTCCTCCATCCATATTTTCCGTGTCATGCACTTATTATTTGGTTATGGATAACTTGTTTGATTCATTTCTTAATACTCTTCAACTGGAAAGTGGAAACTATTCCCCATGCTCAAATGAACATAATAGAATAGGCTTAGTGGATGATCATTTGCTCAGGAAGCAACGAGCTTGTTTTTCACTGGAACATGATTATATGGCATCATGGCTTTCTGTATCTGCTCTATGATTCTAAATACCCTATTTCTGGATGGCATCATAACCATCATTGCAATTTTACCCCTTTTTGTGCGTAGATACTTTGTCATATAATTCCTTCCTTGGTCAAAATGCGGAAAGAAGGCTTGGGTGGTCATGAGAAGATCAAGAGCTATATGTGTGTTTAGTTATCCATTCCAGCAGTGAGACCATTTTTTAACTGTGAGCTAGCTTTATTTGATTCACTATGAGCAAATAATATGCTTATACAATTGTGATTGTGTTTCAGATGGTGGATCTCATTTGGTTTGTCCATATTCGAGGCTTTGGTTCTTTCATTGTATTCTCTTCCGTATTCTGTGTATGCTGCTAGTCATAGGTATGTTTATTGCAGAAGCTTAACGAAATTCTATCTGATGTTTGAGATAACAGTTAAGTATAGGTCTCCAACTTTGACATATCAGGTTTTGTATTGCTGTTTTTATAGATAAATAGTTGAGCTTTAAGCCAAAAATAGGGTGTTGTAATCACATTCACTGTGTTGCAACTTACACATTACAATTCCCACGACCATTACAGCTTCAAACTTATTAACACACATTGTTACACATCTTAATGTGCACAAGTGCACATCTTATTTATGTTTTACCATTGCACTTGTAATGTAATCTGATTGATCTCTAAGAGAGCATCTATTTCCTCCCCCTTTTCTTTTTGTGATAATATTGCAGGACAAAGCATGTGATGGTGACAACTTTACTATTGGTGTGTGGTGCACTGACTATGACATGGATTTCTGACAAAATATCAGAGTATGGGTTTGGTAAGACTCTAAACTGTGCTCGTGTATGTGATCATTCACAAAGTAATCAATCATAAATAATTCTAGCATTCTAGCATAAATAGTACGGAGTATTATTCTAAGACGTGTGTCAGGCTGTCAGCAGTTCAGCATGTCAGATTAGCATTTAATAGGACCTGATAATATAAATGTTGTTTAACCTTAGTTATATTATATCCTCCAGCTTTCTAATTAGTAATGGGTGAATCAGGTCAAGGATCATCTTTAATCATATGTGTGGGAATTCTCACTGGCTACACAGATACGCTGTACAAGATGTTGAATCAACTCTCAGGTGGTTAGCATATTTTCCCTTTTATCTATTTTTTAACTGCAACTTTGTTAGTGACATTTTTCTAGTGTTTCACTTAAACCTGGGCCTTTGAGGCTTTGCTGCGTGTCACTGGCGTAGGCAAAATGGTTTATTATGATGACATGAATCGGACGTTTCTGTTTGCAATTTTTATTTTGTGATCCATGTGATTCAGGGTGAGTAGGTGACGCTACGCAATACATCATTGATTTATTACCCTTTTGGTGCACTCTGTGTTTTTTTTGCTTGTTGCATTTTTTGTTGCGTATTGAGATGCCTATCAAATGATACTACTACTACAGTTTGACTTTCGTATTTTTGTGTTTCCTAGAGCTATTTGGTTTGACCATCTATCAAACCTGTTTTTGTCTCTAATCTTTAGATGCCGAAGCCCTATAGCTTTTGATTCTTCTTTTTTATGCACTGAAATATACGTAGTATATCAATCGTGCTTCTGACCTTCTGTTAGTATGTTTTTTCCTTCAAAATATTGGCTTGGAATGGAATGATCCATTGATGAAGAATAAGACAGTCCCTCATTGTTATGTTTTGTATATCATCTCGTGGACTAAATTAAATCTATATCCTAATCCTTATCTGTAGTGATATAAAAGAATCACCAAGAACAGTCACTAAATTCCATTGTTATTGTTATAAGATTATGCTTTGAACTCTTTTATACATATTTATTGGGACAGTATGGAGTATTAATTCGTATCCCCACTACACTGCAGGAAATGTTGTTAGCCGTTGGCCTTTTATACTTGCAGTAATGGGAGCTTTCACAGTGGTCACAATGTGGGCTGTTGTTGTGACTGAAGGTTGCAGGAAAGTAAAGCTGCAGTATTACAGCTCCAAAGTTGCATCAGCTGCTAGGTGACCTCATCTTTAATGCTTCCGAAAATGTAAACAGGACTATAGAGTATAGACATTTTAAGGGGAGGTGCTGAAGGGTTCAAAGGTGGAGTTCGACTTGATTTAAACATATCCTTTGACCGCCGGTCATGGGTTCAAGTCTTGGGAATGGCCTCTTGTCAAAAGTTGACAGGGGAAGGCTTGCCCCCTATTTATCCTTGTGGTGGGATCCTTCCTCGGACCCTGCCTTGTGGGGATGCCTTTCTTGCACTGGGCTGCCCTTTACTGGCATGCTAGATCCATCCAGTCATCTTCTATAATCCTATTTAAGCTATAAAGCACGGCATAGGTGCTTGAAATGGCATTATCTAAAAGTACGAGACATGGATATTGTGAAAACATGATAACACACAAAATACTTATAATGGTCGCACATAAACATTAAACATTTTCTGATGTACCCAAACAAGAAACATGAAACACTTAAGTTACTAGTAACAAGTCTACATCAACAACAACATGCAAGCCTTAATTTTGATTCATGTCATGTGATGTGACTAAGTGATACTCTGTTGGCCATCACATGCTTACCACAACACCATCCTGGTTTCGGACAGACATGATACCAAAAATGATCTCATGGCGGAGTTACTAGTAACAAGCCTACGACTAATATATAATATCTTAAAGAAGTAAAAGAACTTCATGTCATTCCACTTTATTAGAAATAAAGAGAGGAGAGGGGGGTCTACCTTACGTAGCTAGGCAGGCCTAGGTCTAGGCTTCATGGGCTTGAAATCTTGAATGGTTTTGCATTTGGTTTTCTATTATAAGAAATCATCGTGCATACTGTTCATCTTTAGTTTCCCATTGTTTGGTGCTTCTCTGCCTTTTTTTAAGGTGATGGCTTACGGGTAAGTTTCAATTCAAGGACTAAATTCTGGAAATTAGCTTTTCCACTGATAATTGGTACTGTTATTGATTGCAACCAGGCTGTTCTTCGATCTAAATTTCTTGAAAGATATATTAACGGGATTGCTGTCTATTTTGTTGTTATTGGTCATCATAGAAACTAATAGTGTCATTCATGCCTTGGTACAGAGAAAATCCTACAGATACTGAGATTGAGCCTTACATACCATTCAATATAAATCCAGCAGGGATGCAACCTATTCTCGCTACTGCTTATCTATTTGCCTTCCCCTCAATCCTTGCAAGGTTACATTATATTTTTTTCCCATCAACTTTGTTTAGTTATTCAAATCTTGAATTTTAGACAAGGTGGTGTGCTTTTCTTCATAATGGTTGTTGACTTGTATCTAGCAAGCAATGGATATTCCATAGATTTATGGCACAATTTTGTTTATTTATTTTGGCAGAATCCTTGGTTCACGGTTTTGGGAACATGTGAGTGATGTTCTAAATCCTGAAACCTCTCTTGGAGCAGGGCCATGGGTTTACTATACACTATATGCATTCTTTGTGTTTCTGCTCAATATATTTGACATTGTAAGTTGTTCTTCAATAATTTACTATTTCAGAGATAAAAACAAATTGCTTTCATGTAGTCTCTCTTCATATTTGGTTCAGTGTTTTGTGAAATAGACTATGATTCGCCCTGTACTTTTACTGCATACAATTGTGGATTAAATATCTGAGGGTATTATACATCTGATTACATTTTACAATTTAAAAGCTGACATGTGTTTGTAAACTTGTTTCAGGCCAACACGCCAAAGGAAATTGCTGATTACTTGAACAAGATTAGTGCCAGAGTTCCAAATATAAAGCCTGGGAGAGCCACAGTTGAATACTTGACAAAAGTCCAGGCGTCTACACGCTTCTGGGGTATCCATATAGTTGAAATTGTTTATATAACCCACCACCTCTCTCCTGGTATTTTATTTTGGGATTAAATATGCCGAGTGCTGTGCAGGTGGTGTCATGCTAAGTATATTGGCTACTACATCTACCATTCTTGACCATTATCTACGGAAAATAAATAGTGGGTTTTCAATAGGATTTACATCGGTTCTAATAATTGTAAGTTCAACATTGACCGTTTGCTTCTTATGTTTTTTGGACCAAGGCTTGGATGTTGTTGTAATAATTGTAACTTCATCATTGACTATTTTTCCTTATAGTTTTTGGAAAGCCTCCCCAGTCCCCACCGTACACCTATATGGAGTTGATGGATTGAGTATTTCTTGCAGGACTTGGATGTACTAACTTGAACATCGATATATCTTTACCTAGTACTCCCTCTGTATTAAAATATTTGCTACAATAGGGCTTGACACAATGTTTAAGGGAAGAGTAGTAGGGGCAATTAATAGTGTAGAAAAAGCAAGAGAGAGGGTGGAAAAGTATGAAAGAGAAGATAAAATGTGGAAAAGGTAAGGGTAGTTGAGTAATTTTAAAGGAAAAACTTACCAAAAAAGGAAAGTGTAGCAAAAATTGGAATACATCCTGAAAAGAAAAGTGTAGCAAACAAAAGAATATGGAGGGAGTATTAGAATGATCTGTACATTGTATTGGATCATGAATTCTATGAATTACTGGTTATTTATATTACTAAATTCTTTATTCAGTAGTTCGAGGGAGGTCAGTTTTCCTAGAATTAATTTTGTCGTGGGCCATTTATGAACCGTCAGCTCCAACAAAGATGGCTTGTTTCATAATCAGATAATTACAGATTTTCAAATTATCATCACTGTAACAAGTGCAGGATGAAGATGCCTTATTATTTTTTATAGCAAACTAAACATGCTTCTGTACTCTAATTAGACTTGTTGATACTGATGCCTCACCCCAAATCTATTTTAATAATTCTCTTCTCTTCAGGTTGGATCAATCATCGAACTCAGAAGATCTTATCAAGCGTATAATGTAATGCCCAGTCTAAGTAAGGTTCTAAAGCGGTATGGAGTATAAGATTCAGGTAGACAATACTATGGAGATACCTTACACAAGAAACTTGTTGTCAGGTATATTACATCTTTGATTCATGCAGTTTCTTAGACTCAGGCAGAAAAATGATTTCTGAAGATTGAGGCAACTAGTCGAAGGAAAAGCTGAAAATAGAGAGAAATGTAACATAAGGCAACCTGATCTGATGTAATTGTTATGGTATTTGGAGGCCTTCGGTTAAGATCCTTGCTTGTAGGCTGTGGCATTGTTCAGCATTGGTAATGTATTGCTGTGTTATTTTTTAATTGAAACATTTATTCTTAACCAAAGATGTGGTATTGTTAGTTAGATGCCTCCTGTTTGTTGCAACGAATTGTTAGGCAAATGGCCAGCCGCCCAGCCCGTGGCAGATATGTGTTTACCGCCGCTGCTGGACAGTCTTGCCTGCTTAATGACGGGTTGGTAGTTTGGTGTTGTTTAAAGCCCTATGCTTGTGGGCTAGTTCCCGAGCCAAGCAGTAGCATGCTCTAAGAGGTGATTGAGTAGGTACAAATGTACAATCACCTCGCAGATATGAACTTCTCAAAATTGAGAGATGGTTGCATTTTTTGTTAACTTTTGCACCGTGTTAGTCACTTAGTTGTAGAGCATAGTAACGTTATCCATAAATTTACTCTGTGAATGGGTTGTGAAATTGAGACATATTCATGATCTATTTAGTTGTGGATTATGCGTGGAAAATTTGTCATATTCTGTGGAGCATTGTTACTTGTGATAAGCTAGAAAGCCTAGAATCTATCTCAACACTAATGTTCAAGAATGTCTTCTCAACTTCCGTTCACAATTTGTGTCAAGCAATGAAATCACAATTCATCAATTCTTTCTATGGCTACCACTTACTAATAAACTCTAACTTATCCTACAAGAATCCTTGGCTTAGCATAATAATTTCTTAATTCTTACATCTAACGATTCTTTTCATGAATCAATCCGTCAATGTAATAGTCGTATACAAGTAATAATTATTTATCTAAGGCTCTAAGCTATTTCTAACGTTTATAAACATGAATCAACGTAGGGTTTTCGACATGCATAAGTTCATTCGCACATAAACTTATTAAGCAATTACTAATCCATACAGGATTTGAGACTTGTGTTTTAATGTTCCCAAATCAATGTTTTCGCATCCCTTCTCCCTCCTCTTATTTATTAACTCCGTTTGGTGGTAACATATTGAATTTTATACTATTCACGTGTTCCACATTCATGAAACTCTGAAAGTCTATTCTAACTAGGGATTTTCCTTAAAATGCTTCAATTCATTTCTCACCCTAAATTACTACTCCTAACTAGGCCTTTCCCAAACCCATGACATTATTAAGGATGTTTTTAATTGAATTAGAATTTTCCCTTTTGATTTGATTTGGTCTGGTCAAGTCAAACAAATGTCTGTTTTATATGACTTTTAAATTGTTGAGTGTGAGCAGTTCTAGTCCGGTTTGATACTTTGATCTAGGATTGAAACGAGTCCAATTAAACACATGCCAAGTCAAATTCTAGTGTGGCCTCAAGGTACCTTGTCTAACAAATTAGAATGTTACCATTGAGTAATTCAGATGAAATGATGACTTGGGCTACTCGAATGCGTTTTAGTTACGGTACATTCACTTATTTGTAGGATATGATAGTAGTCACCTAATATGCAACCAAATCGACTTTTTTTTATACCGTAAAATACATCACCTTCATTGATCTAGAATAGGCTAAAGATTTTTTACAAAAATATTACTTAGTAAAACTTATTTACACACAAAAATGACTACGTAGTATTAGTTACTCCAATGTATTGTCATAGTAACTTAAGTTTAAAATTTAAACATAAGTTACTATGAATTCATTATTACTTAAGTCACTAATCACATTTTTGTAAACAGTCTTCATTTTAATCATAAATATGTAATTATTTCATAAGCTAAATACAACCGAGATCATGATAAAAAATAACTCTACATCCGCCTTAGAAATGACTACTCTAATTACGGTTTGAGCTACACGATTCACGGATCATTTACCATACATAACAAACATATAAACTTCAGACTGAAGAAAATGTTTAATATCACCAAATATAAGATCAAGATAGGAACTTCCCTCTTCATCCGCCAATTTCGAAGTGATCCAAGAGCCGTCAGCCACCCAGACATTTTTATTTCATAACCAAACAGACTGTAATCATTTATTAAAACCAAATCGAGCAAGAAGTATTTATTTATTCATGGAAATAAGAATTGTATTAAAATTTCAATGATTTACAATGAATAGCATCAAGACAAATTTACGACTTTTCACGTTGGTAGAGAAGAAATTCGTGCACCTTGCAGGCTTGCACCTCTTTGTAATCAATTTTTTCGAAAAACAATTAGATTAAATGAGCTGGAGAGGTGTCAACATAGACTACTTCAATTATGGGGGCTCGAATTCAACATCATCAAGAAACAAGAGATCCTTAAATCATATGATTAAAAATTGGAACAGGGTCAAATAGGCCCTTAAACTAATTTAAAAAGTGCAAATCATCTCTTACATAGGAGATTCTGTCCGCCCGTTGCCATTTGTGGCGGTTCCCGGTGGAATGTTTTGATGAAATGCTTTGAGCATCTTTTTCATTAAGTCTAGTTTACCTATACCAAATTTCAGATAAAAATTCAACCGGAAAAATAGTCAAATGATTTTCTGAAATGTATTGCGCTGTTTAACTGTGCAGTTACTTCAAAAATTCATTTGACTGCCTTCCCGATTGAATTTTTAGCTGAAATTTGATATGAGTAAACTAGACTTAGGCTATGTTTGGCACAACGAGCTGAAGTTGAAAACTAATATCGGAATTGAGAGTTGTTGTCTGAATTAAAGACTATTGTCTGGAACTGAATTATGAAGTGCTGAATCTGAACTGCAAGCTGGATGGAGTATACTCGTTTGTAGGGCTGGTTCGGTATGGTATACCGAAATTTCTACGCCATACCGCATACCGTACCGAAAATCCGGTATTGGTAAATGTCATACCGTTACCATACCGAAACTTTCGGTATACCGAAAATTCGGTACGGTATGTAACCCATACCGTTTTATACCGAAAATTCCAAAAAAAAAAACTTCTTGGCAATTCCGTATAAAGTATTAGCTTAAGGGGCCTACCGAACATCCAAAAAACACTGATTATAACAAGTCAAAAGTAACATACGACATCAATACATAAACCGATACCAAAACTAAAACACAATATTTAATCCAAAGTAGAAAATACTAAAATTATGTGCTAATATCTCAAGTCTCAACACAATCCATAATGAAAATTAGAATATTTATCCAACATAAATCAATGATAACTAATGTTTGTAATAACAAATCTTTGAATCATTGTTGCAGCTCCGTATAAATAAGAGATTTTTCTACTTTGGTAAGGTCGTTCGCCGTATAAATATTTTATCAATATACTTTATCATTTGTTTATAAATATAGAATGAGCATACACCAGATTGTTCATATTACCATGATGGTTAAGCTTTAGCAAATAATGACGGTCGTCCGCTACTCTGTGCTTCGTCAATGGCGTCTTCGTCACTCGTCCGCAGCTCTAGCTCGAAGTTTTATGTCATTCTTGAGTACTCTGTCACTCGTCCGCATCTCCATCGTCAATGCTCAATAGTCCACAGCTCTGTCACTCGTTGAAGAGAAGCTGCTTGACTCTACGTTGATTTATTTGGGAAGAATTTGACTTTGCACCCCATATTTTGGGTGATATTTGAGTTTACACCCTATTTTCAAAATCATTAATGTATGCACCCCAATTCACTATAAAATTATTTGACTTTGCACCCCACTCCTTCACAATTTTTGGGCTAATGGGGTGCATACATTAATGATTTTAAAAATGGGGTGCAAAGTCAAATATCACCAAAAACATGGGGAGCAAACTCAAATTCTCCCATTTATTTGATTAGGGATTTAGGCCTCTACTTGGGAGAACTAGAGAAGGGCCGTAGTATTATAAGATGTGTTATTTTAATTTTGGGTCTTGGTATTTTAATAATTTTATTTAATGGGTTTGGCCCTAAAAATTTACAAATTCTATTTCGGTATATCGGTATTTCGGTATATACCGTACCATACCGAAAATTAACGGTATTTCGGTATAAAATTTAAAAAATCCATACCTTTACCGTGCCGAAGTGACCCGGTATGGTATCATACCGTACCGAACTTTTCGGTATACCGAAAATTTCGATAAATTCGGTATTTTTCGGTATGGTATGGCCGGTATACCGAAATTTCGGTATATTTTCCCACCCCTACTCGTTTGTCATAAAGAGCTCATACGGTGACTCGAAAATATAAAATTACATTAAAGGGCATATACATATTATTCCAAAAATTATTATAATGATTTTTATATTTTAATAAATGTTAAGATTATAGTATGTATGTACTTCGTATAATACTTCGTATATGAAGTATTTTTTTCTTCAAAAAATTGCACTTTAAGTGATACCTTTGATGAAGTTTTGCTGAAGAATGTAGTACAAGCTATGCCCTCTTATGCAATGAATGTCTTCTTGTTACCATTAGAGCTTTGTTCGGAGATTGAGAAAATTATGAATGACTATTGGTGGAGAGACAGAGAATCGACGAGGCGAGGAATCAGGTGGAAAAGTTGGACTGCTCTTTGTACACCCAAACAAAAGGGAGGTTTAGGGTACAAATTCTTAAGAGAGTTCAACGTCGCTATGTTAGGAAAGCAGGCATGGAGGCTGACTACCAATCCTAACTCGCTAGTGAGCAAAATTTTTAAGGCAAGATACTTTCCGAAATCCACATTCCTAGATGCTAAAATTGGTAACAATCCCTCTTTTATTTGGAGGAGTATTTTGGAGGCTCAGAAGGTTGTTAGGGAGGGTACTCGTAGGCGAATAGGTAATGGAAAGGATACCTCGGTTTGGTACGACAGTTGGTTACCTAGAATAAGTGGGGGCAGAATTGTATCACAAAAGCCAGAGGGAATATTTGATATGAATGTGGCAGCCCTTATCAAAGAAGACAAGTCGGGATGGGATCATGAACGTTTGAACAAACTGTTCTCGGTGGAGGAGCGGGCTGCAATTCTGAGTATGCCACTAAGTTTAAGAGATAGCAGTGATGGGTTTTATTGGCTTCATGAGTCAAGAGGATGCTACACTGTCAAGAGTGCCTACAGAAAACTAAAAGGAGAATACCAGGAGGGGGAATGGTTGGGATGGACTCACATGTGGAGCTTTTTTATACAACCTAAAATGAAACATTTTTTTGGCAGGTTATGACTAATGTTCTTCCTACAACGGAGAATCTTCGCAAACGACACGTGGATGTCCCAAGAGAATGTCGGCTTTGAGTGTAGAAGATGAGAGTTCGTTGCACCTTTTTAAAGAATGCATATGTGTGGCAGATCTCTGGGGCAAGCTGGGTTACTGTTTTCAGCAGCAGTATGGTTCTTTAAAGGAATGGGTGAAGTCAGCTTTTGAGAAATTAGCAGAGGAGGATCTGTGTGTTTTCATTTCAACCCTTTGGAGTATTTGGAAGTCACGCAATGAGGTTGTGTGGAAGAATGCCCACTTCAACTCGAACCAAGTTCTTCTGGTAGGTGCAGCAACTTTGCGCGGGTGGAGGAAAGCTCAAGAGACATCAGGTACAAGAAAGAGAGGTTCCCAGGCGGTGCAGGCCTCCAGCGGGAGTAGTCAAAGTCAACGTTGACGGAGCTTTAGATCAGAGAAGGGGTAAAAGATCGTGGGGATGGATAGCTCGAGACGAAGGGGAGAACTTCCTTTGTGCTGGCAGCGAGACAAGCACGGCAACCTTGTCATCTTTTACAACGGATGCTATGGCTATTCGAGAAGCAATTTTGCGAGCGAAAGAACATGGATGGTCTCGTGTGATTATTGAAACGGACGCTCTTCTAGTTACTACGAGAGTTTCAGGAGATAGCGGAGCTTCATATCTTGATCTTATTGTTGATGATATTAGACTTCTGCTTCGGGATGAAGTGAACTATTCAGTCAGTTATTGTAAACGATCCGCGAATAGCGTAGCTCACACGTTAGCAAGGGCTAGCCTTTCATATGCGGATGGTAGAGTTATTTTCCATTCAGTTCCTAATTGCATATGTAGCCAGTTGGCAAATGACTCTTTGATTGAATTGGATATGGATTTCTTTCAAAAAAAAGTGATGCCGTTGATACGTAGTATTATCCGAAATGCAAAACACAAAGAAAATATATGAAATTCAAACAATGCTCCTGATGGAGTATATGGCCCAGGGACCTCCGGCCCACATACTTCCACTACTGCAATCAGGTCCAATAGGCCCAAACGGGCCAGGCCCAGCAAGATGAAGCTCTAAGCGGCCCACGATACGCGGAGGGGTGCCTTTGTCCCCATGGCCGAAGGCTACCGTTGACAAGGTCGAGCTCAGAAACATCACAGGAGAACAAGGCTTGAAAACTGAGCCTTCGACACTAGGAGCCCTCGGTTCTAGGAGGCCCCCGGTACAAAGAGTCTTCGACTTGTTATCTATAGCCGAAGGCATCCTCATCGACAGAATATCCTCTCCACATGCGTCTGAGTCACCGTACCAAGTACAACGTCACATCCAACCACCGCATTTAATGCGCCCACAAGCAAATGCCAGTGCCACCCCGATTGAAGTAACCCTCGGTCGTCAGATGCTTGACACGTGTCCCTGTCTAGCATTTATTGCTGCTATAAATAGCAGCCCATTTCCCCATTGTAAAACAGGAGTTCACATATCGAATATACACTCTCTCTCTTACTTATTTGCTCTGACTTCTCTCTAAGTTATTCCCGCAATAACCCATCGGATAAATTACCCCCGGTACTCTATCCATCAGCTCCGTATTGATTTTTATTAGAAAATAAAATTTCGATAATCTTCCTATAGTGTTCAGAACACTATAATGTTGTTCTGTTATGTGTTCCCTACTTCATTCTAAACTATAATGCTGAATTACATACACCTCTTAGTTAATGGGTGAAACAAATTCAACCAGAGAGCTGTGCCGTCAATTGTATATGGGTATCCTCAATTTTCAATTGAAGTTTGTGGTGTTGCACTCACCAGAAGTGAGAGAACGAAAAAGAGATACTGAGATAGTAGGGGTATTTTAGGAAGGTGTGCGGTATATAAGGTTAGCTGATTACAAACGTTCCCTGGAGAAACGTTTTTGTTCAGCCTACTTTTTTCAAATTCAGCTCAATGTAGTCTATCTTCCAAACAGTGCTAATTCTTTATTTATTAGCTGAACTTAAAAAAATCTAGCCCATTATCAGGTGAAATGGCATGCCAAATATAGTCTTAATGAAGAAGATGCTCAAAAATTTTTATAAAAAATTCCACTGAGAACCTTCCCAAATGGCGACGGCTGGGCAGAGTCTCCTATATAAAGGGTGATTTGCACTTTTTGAGTTAGTTGGAGGGTCTATTTGATCTTTTCCAATTAAAAACTTAAAATAGAAAGCTCTGAATCCTATAACTTTCAAACAAGAGCTGCTAGTGCTAGTAAGATAATCTAAGCAGAATTTGTCACATAGAATTTCTCCCTTTGCCGTTGTAGTTGCTCCACCATGAGAGGTCACCTCCTTTACTCTTCTTCTTGTTCTTCTTGTTCATTCTTCTTTCCTTTTTGTCTTCTCTTTCCCATCCTCTTCAAATCTGGGTCCTTTGTTTTCTTCTTCTTTAGATTTCCAAAAAATGACACTTTTTGAATAAAAGTGTAAAAAAATTATACTTTTATCACAAGTGTAATTTTGAACAATTTTGAACAAATTACTCTTCAAATTTTTTGGATTTCCAAAAAATCCAAAGAAGAAGAGATTACCTATGGTCGGCGGCATAACTGCGATACGAGGCCATAACCGACGGCACAGTTGCACTCCATGGGAGGGAAGGGATGTGCGGAGCTATTGCGATGAATTGAAGTCGGGTCGGGAGAAAGTGTTGATGAAGGAGCAGAGTAGCGATGAAGGTGGCAGAGGGATGAATGGTTGAAGCCAGGAATCGGGATTTAATTAAAGAAGGGTAAAATTGTAATCTGGAGTCCTATTTAGGGAATTAGAAACTTAAAGTCCTATTTTGGAGTTTAATCCATGTTTTAGTCTCATACTCTCATCTTGGGCAATTTTTTCTTCATACAAAATTTTAAATATTTTCTACTTTCACCTAATATTACATTTACATGTCACCACTCATTTTTTTCACTATAACATAAGCGGTAACTTTAACTGCTTAATGAAATCATTTTCATTTTATCGATTCATACTACTCACCCGTCCTCCTATAATTGTTTCATTTTTTCATTTTTGGATTCTCTCTATTATTGTCTCATACCATATTTGGTAACATTTGTGTGACTCTAATTCATTCTTACTTTATCAACTCATTATCAACCACATAATTTTACATTTCTTGAAAACTACACCACTCCTTTCCACCCCAATATTAAGGGGGCGGAGGAAGTATTAAATACTATCGTATGTAGTACTATGTACGATAGTATATCTTTGTAAACATTAAATTAATAAAATTTGGACAGAGTGTACAAGTAAAACTACTTACAAGTTAATAAGTCATATTTTAAAAAAAAATAATGATCTTATTTGTACACTTTATTTATATTTAAACCCAAACACTTAGAAGTGAGCAAGTCATATAATAGAAAACAAAGTAATAATGATCTCATTTGTACACTTTATTTGTATTTAAATCCTACTCTTCGTTTAAAAATTTTCTCTAAGTTAAATCAATTTCCAAAACAAAATAAAATTGTTGGTTGTAGATATGTGACATGCAAGAAAAATTTTATTTTTAAATGGCATCTCAGATATGTTACCCAGAAAACCAGATGAAAGTGTGAGCGCGTGCTTTCCAACATCAACGTGTATAGGGTTTATTTAAAAATCCTTATTATGAGTTATGACCATAAACTCCGGGTTCCCCCGTTCCTTATTTCGGCGCTTTCCGTTTCGGTGCGACTGTGGATTTCAAAAGCAGGATTTCCCTTCTCTATTCTCGGCCCCTTCCACTAGTTGAAGATTCTAGGCTGAGATTGAGTTGTTAGAGATTCGAGCCTGCCATGGATGAGGGTTTGGTTGATGACATTATAAGGAGGCTGCTTGATGCGAAGACAGTGAGGGCGCCGAAGCAGGGGCAGTTGACGGAGTCAGAGATTAAGGAGCTTTGTTTGGCGTCCAAAAAGATATTTCTCAGCCAGCCTAATCTTCTTGAGCTCGAAGCACCTATCAAGATTTGTGGTAAATTGAACCACATATTTTCTTTTGTCTTTTTTATTTTGTTTTTCGTTTAATGGGTAAAATAGCATGTTGTCCTTTGTTTGTTTGTGGCTTATCAATTGAACACTAGCTTAAATTCAGGCTATATGTATTGTTAGTTTTATAGGTGAAGTGGTTGTCCTGTTTTGCCAACAAAGTTCAAAGCTTTGCCTTTGGCCACACAACTTCATGTTATTTCTTTGGTGATGAATAAAAGTATAAAAAAACTATGAACAATTTAGTAATCTGTGTTCATAATCACAAGATTGCCCAGTGATATATTATGCAGTATGATATAAAAGGATTGGTAACGGAGTTAAAAAGTAGTGCCCCATGTACTCTGCAGGTGATATTCATGGTCAGTACTCTGATCTTCAGCGGTTGTTTGAGTATGGTGGGTATCCACCTGAGGCCAATTATCTATTCTTAGGAGACTATGTTGACCGCGGTAAGCAGAGTGTAGAAACAATTAGTCTTCTTCTTGCGTACAAGATTAAATACAAGGAGAACTTTTTTCTCCTAAGAGGCAACCATGAATGTGCTTCTATCAATAGGATATATGGTTTCTTTGATGAGTGCAAGAGGAGGTATAATGTTCGTGTTTGGAAGATGTTTACAGAGTGCTTTAACTGCTTGCCTGTTGCTGCCCTTATTGATGAGAAGATACTATGCATGCATGGAGGACTATCTCCTGAACTGAAACACTTGGATCAAATTAGAAAGATTCCCCGCCCTGTAGATGTACCTGACCAAGGTCTCTTATGTGACTTGTTGTGGGCTGATCCTGACAGAGATATTGAAGGATGGGGAGAGAACGATCGGGGTGTATCATATACATTTGGAGCAGATAAGATCACTGAATTTCTAGAGGAGCATGACCTTGATCTCATATGCCGAGCTCACCAGGTAATATATGAATCAGAACAGATTAGTTATCCCCTCTTTGCCGCTTTCCTTTATAAAAAATGTGAGCTGGGTTTCTGCTTCTAGTTCAGTTTCATTTACTTTATTGAGTTTATTCTAAACATGTACTCCATAATAATTTGGTATGTTTTTTTATCTTTCAAGAACTGATTTTTATTTTTCTTTAAAGGTTATTGTATACAATCTATCTACAAGTGTCTGGACAAAACACAAACCTCTTATTTTATTTAAAATTTTCTATTAGTTATTTTATTATTGATAATTTTACTATAAAAACATAATGTTTAATAAGTGTATGAGCTATGTGCCTTTTAGAACTCTGGTTTTCTTATATTGTTTCATTGAAAAAGTATTGTATCAGAGGGATAAACAATTAACTAGTCAGTGGTTTTTGTCACATACGTAGTATATCAATTTCCTGAAATTTCTTGTTTGTTTCTTTCTTCTCAGGTTGTGGAAGACGGATACGAGTTCTTTTCAAACCGACAGCTGGTCACCATATTTTCTGCACCAAATTACTGTGGTGAGTTTGACAATGCTGGTGCAATGATGAGTGTAGATGACACATTAACATGCTCATTCCAAATCTTGAAGGCCTCTGAGAAGAAAGGAAAATCTGGATTTGGAAACGCACAGAGACCAGCTACACCGCCTCATAAGGTAAAAACTAACAAGTTTTAACTGTTTAGGAGGGGTGATGTCTCTTGAGGTAAGTCCTTTTATCTAATTGATAAAACTTTATGTTTGATGAATGTTTCAGGGTCCCAAGGGATAGATACATTTTGTTCATGTAGACACAACATGCCCTACATCTACAAAGTGATGCTCCCAATAGTTTTGAATTTCAATCTAAGGATTGGAAAAAAGCTCAACTGGCCAGGTTCCTTATTTTGTTCTCACAAAAGGGCTTTGTGGTCAATGCCGTTCACCTATGTAACACTGTCTTATTTCTAAAATGTAAAACGCAACAAACTTCAATATTTCCAAATGGGTTGTTTCTTACTTTCTTTTTCCTCCTGTGTGTTGTAGTGTTTCCATTTTCTTGTGAAACAATTAGACAAAACCTGAAGACTATTGCAATTTGCAAATCATCTTTAATTAACTGCACATATTGAATTGCTGTCAGTGTTATAGATTTTCCCCACGCCTGTGAGTGGTAGATTTGCTTTGGCATCATTTGGATCACTGTGTGGTTAGGGAGTTAATAGCAAGTTTAACTGTCCAAGCATGGGCAATTTGAAAACAAAATGTACAAAGCAGGTATAGTGTAGGGGGGACACGGTTTTGGATAGCAACCAGCCAACCAGAATTGGCGGTTGAGGGATCTTTTCAGGATGCCTTCCAGCGCCATTGCTCTCTAGCGGAGATGCCTTCTCAAAGAGAAACGTTTACCTGATGTCAGACTATAGTTTAAATCTGATTGTTCTAAGTCAAAATATTGGGTTCATGCTAGGCTTTATCTCAAGTCTCAACCTATACAGCTATACTAGGGGTGGACCGGTTCCGGTTCGGGCCTGGGCCCGGCCGGGCCTCGGTTCATGAAAGGGGAGGCCCGGAACCGGCCCGGGTAACCCCGGGTCCGGGCCGGGCCTCGGTTCATGTAATTTTTTTTTGGCTTTTCCTAATTAACCCCCAACCCTCCCCCCTCACCCCCAAACCACCCCAAACCACCTCAAATGGTCCATCATACCCAGCCCAACCCAAAAACTTAAAAAAAATTCAAAAAAAAAGAAAAAATAATAAATGGGCCCGGACCGGGCTCAAACTGGTCGGGCCGGTTCACAATTTAGTAGGCCCGGGCCCGAACCGCCTACCTCACCGGGCCGGCTGGCCCGAACCGGGCACCAACCGGTTCACCAGGCCGGTCCGGGCCCGCACTGGTTCCGGGCCAGTTGGCCCGGCCTGAGTCCACTCCTAAGTCCACTCCTAGGCTATACTTTGTGCTTTTTTTTTAATATGAATTTCAAGGCGTATGAACTGTCTTTATTAAATTCATATTACACATATATAATTCATTTTAATATGAAATAATTACAAAAGTTTGTTTATAAAAATGTAACCAGTGACTAGAATAGTAATATGATCATAGTAACTTATGTTTATGTTTTAAAAATAGGGAAAACTGTCAAATAGGTCCTCGAACTTTCATAAAAAAGTCAATTGAATCCTTCTATAGGAGGCTCTATCCGGTCGTCGCGATTTGGGGGGTTCCCGGTGGAATTTTTTGATGAAATTTTTTGAGCATCTTATTCATCAAATCTAGTTTACTCATACTAAATTTAAGCTAAAAATTTAATCGGGAGCGCATTCAAATTAATTCGAGAACGCAAAAATGCGCAATTATTTTCAAGAATTAATTTGAATGTGTTCCTGATTGATATTTTAACTGAATTTTGGTATGAGTAAACTAGACTTGGTGAATAAGATGCTCAAAAAATTTCATCAAAAAATTCCACCGGTAACTGCCCCAAATCGTGACGGCCGGACAGATGCTCCTATAGAAGGACTTAATTGACCTTTTTATGAAAGTTCGAGGACCTATTTGACAGTTTTCCCTTAAAATTAAGTTACTATGACACTACACTGTAGTAACTATCAGTCAAGTTTTTGTAAATAAGTTTTATTTTAGTAATTTTTTGAAAACCCCCGATAGTTTTAATGAGTGATGGTTGGATACAAATAATATCAATATCATGTTAGAATGTCTGAAACCAATTATACAATCACATTTAGGGATGGACCGGTTCCGGTTCGGGCCTGGGCCTCGGTTCAATTTTTTTTTTGGGCTTTTCCTAGTTAACCCCCAACCCCCCCCTCACCCCCAAACCAACCCTAACCACCTCAAATGGCCCAAAATACCCAGCCCAACCCAAAAACTTAAAAAAATTCAAAAAAAAAAGACCCGGCCCGGGCCCGAACCTGCCGGACCGGTTCACCTTTTGAAGGGCCCGAGCCCGAACCGCCATCCCACCGGGCCTGGTGCCCCGAACCGACCAACCAACCGGTTCACCGGGCCGGTCCGGGCCCGCACAGTAGCAGGCTGGTCGGCCCAGCCCGAGTCCACCCCTAATCACATTAAGTTTGGGCTACTTACACATTTTACACACCAAAATGCCCTAACAATTATTCCCTTTATAGGACTATAAAGATGTATATGCACAAACTCTAAGTATGGACATGCATGATCTTAAAATATTATCCATCATATTAGAACTATAATAAATAATGATTAACCCTCATTCTCTTTATAGGATTGTAAAGATATATAGGCTCACAATTTAAGAAATGGATGGACTTGCTATCATACAAGAATCATCCCATCCTATTAACTCTATAATGATAAGTACATAATTAGAGATGATAATTTACTCTTTTACTGTGGTCCTGATGGAAACAACTATAGGCTCCACTCGTGCTCTTCATTTGATAATATGTTCACAGCCAACACTTTCTGAGTTACTGGTATTCTTATGTTGTTAAATCACTTCATTTCGCAGCCATATTTGTTTTGTAAAATATAAATCATTCTCTACTCAATACTCAATAGTCACAAACTTCTTAGATGGATTAATATGGATTAATACAGATAAATTTCATTAAAATATCATTTCTGGTAGGACAGGGTTAAGAAAGTGAATATTAGCATGTTCCAATCTATAAGGGTCATGCTAATGTATATGTTAGCCTTATAGATAACTACCTAATAAAAGTATATATATTAGCATGTATCAAGTAATTTTTTATTGATTTACTCCCTTATAGATTGGGAGTAAATCATTTGGATCAATGTGTGGTTAGGGTGCATTAAAATATTCGTTTCATCCTCTAACAAACAACTTCAACATTAATATTTGTAAATAAACTTCTATCTTGTTCTAAAAAAATTGGTTTTTAGAGAACTCCCAATAAGGAAAGTTCACCTAATTTAATAACAATTATTAGATTTATAGGAACTAAATTCTTAAAATATTTTTTATGCCATCTGCATATAAGTTTTTATTAACTTTTGGTGGTGTTTGATAATGTTTATTTTTGGTTTATGAGTTGATTTTAATTTACCATTCACTAAATTTCGATTAGGGCAGTGAATCGTGTAATAACCAAAGTAAGTACAATTAAAGTTATTTTTGTAGTTGAATAATTGATTTAAATATTAGAATATATTTTATAAAGTAAGACATAAATTACTATTTTAATTATTACATGACTTTTTCTTTATTTGTTTAATAAAATATATTTTTAATATAACTTTTTAATAATTTAGTACATTCATCACTTCATACTTTGAATGTTCACTCGGTTATTAATGTGTTTTTTCGGTAGGCAAACCACCTCAGTGGGGCAAATGTCGGGGAACATTTGCCCGAATTTATTAAAAAATTAAAGTACTACAAATAAGTCTAGCGAGAAACCATTTTTTTACTGTACTTTCTTTTTTCTCATAGTACCTGTTCTGTTAAATTCCAACATCCTTGACTAGGATGAGTTTCGAACTTGTGACCTCCTCATTGGGAGTGTCACAATCACATACGGTCCGGTCTCGGTAAGAACACTTCTTCTAATGTGAAATAATAAAGTTCAGAAACGATGCACATCTTGATTCATGAGGGGGGCACTTTTATGGTTAAGATAATATACAACTCAAATCGACAGAAAAATTAGTTGTATTTACAAAAATTTCATTTCATTTTCTGTTAATAAAACACACGTTCCTGTTTCATATAATGCACAATTCCCAAAAGTACAACAACAATAACAACAATATCTCTCATATCTTGGGGTCGACCAAAAGTAATGTCCAAATTAATTCTCATATCTCTTCTTTGATCGTGTTATCATTTGATCCATACTACGGGGTATTATATATAATCATTTTTACATACAAATTTTTCAAAATATATTCAAAACTTTTGCTTTTTTTAAAACGACTTTTGCTTTTTTTAACAATAGAAATTGCCAACTCTCTAGAGAGCTGCGACCGTGTCCCTATACGTAGGGTTTTGTTTTCCCGTATATCTTCGTCGATTGTGTTTTTTCTCTTCTCGTGCTTCGACGATTATCAACGTAGGGAAGAGTGAGATATACAAGCAGGAAGGGGTTGAGTCTTCATGGATTTTCAAGAGACATCGTGCGTTGAAGCTTTCTGCGTTAGTTCAATGGAGGAGTTGGTGGATAAAGGCCACAATATGAAGATTCTCAGGGGCGAGGACATATTAGGAGGCGGCACGAGCGACGAGCATACGAGAAGCAGTAAAGGACTGAACAAGGGAGAAGACAGATCGACGGTCCGTCCCTCTCCTAAACTGCCGCCTTGGAGCGATTGAGGTGTCAAGGCTTGGAAGATGATGTTTCAAGAAATCTGGTAGGAAGGAGTTTGGTTTCATCAATTATTTTATTTCTTATGTTTTTATTTTCGCGTTATGTTTGTTTATGTTTCTTTATTTTTTGTTGATGTCTTTAATTTTAGATCTACTATAATGATTGGCAATTCTGCTAGGTATTATGTCGTTAGAAGGATCTTATGACCTGTGATTGTTGTGTCACACTCGTTTGGTAATTAACGATTCGTATTGCTCTTTCAGAGGTGATCATTTCAAAGTCTAACCGTATGGTTGATAGTAATAGTTGTTTACAGATAGTTGGTATCGTTATTGGTCTCATAGAGTTTGATGTAAGAATCTTAATTCCAATGATATTAATATAAGCAGTTTTCCTTCAAAAAACAATAGAAATTGCCTATAGAGACGTAGCAAATCGGGGATGTGTACAAAACTACAAATTGAAGGGTACAAACACAATTTATATTATATTTAAAAACGGAATAGTGGCAGCAACCCCTTTGGGAAGGAACACGGTAGCAATTAGCTTTTTTGGTGATTAATTAATTGCTTGATCAATCGATTAGCGTGTTTAATGAAAGCAATTCCTTACACACCATAGCAATAGTTTGGGCGGCCAAGCAATCGTTATAACTGAATAAATGTAATTGTAAACCGTTGGAGAGAAAGGTCCTTATTGTATAACGGCGGATTGAGCAATCCGTTGTTCTTTTTGAACTACAAACCGCTACTAAAAGCAGAGTGTTGGCATGCACCCGCTGAAAAACAAACATCCTCAAAATTCTACACAATTAATGAAA